TTCACTGTCATAAACAGATATGATTATGTAATATGTCCTGTATTTATTAAACGTGTTCCACTACTCCTGCTGCATTCAAATGACTGGCAGGACGGTTAGTAACATTGTGGTGAATGAGATGGAAATGCCTGAAGACCTTTGGGACTCGTCTATTCTTATCCGAACCTGACAGGCCGGCTGTGCTCAGACAGTCGGTGTCTCTCTGTCGCACACAGACACACACACACACACACACACACATCCTCTCCCTGTCAGTAGTCTTTTGAACTCCTGAAGAAAAAGTTTTTATTTGCTGAGAAGAGGAGACTTACGCAAACCAGTCAAAAGGCTTCAAGAACTATTGCTTTTCTGCTCTGATTGTGTCGAGTCTTCCGCACAATTTCTCACAGTTCAGCCATTAAAGCTTTCAGCACAGGGCATGCAATATCCATGCAGCCAACATAACACATTTACCACCCAGCAACATTTACCATTTGCACACGCAATTAGCGGCCAGATATCATTTTTAAAAATCCGTCAAACAAAACACAGATTATCATATCGACAATGCAGCACTCATCTCCGGAGGAAAAGTACTATGCAGTAAAGTTTTACACCGATCAGGCACAACATCTGAAGTTAAAAACTAACACAGATTACCCAAAAAAAGCCATATTCAGTATTTGCTTACAACCGGTCACGACAAGTACCTGATACACAGAGTAGCTGTATTGCGATTCAGTGAATATACAGTATTGCAGAGGGTTAGTTAATCATTGAAGCTCAACAAAGACACCAATGCTAACAGCGGGTACATTATTTCTCATTGAGGGAGACGTTTACTAATCTCAGTGCTCTGTCCTCATGTGTTTCTTATCATCTACTGTTGTTTAGGGACGTTTTCAGGGAGAAACACACATATTTAACTTTTTTCTCAATACTTTAACAAGCAATACTGGCTATAACCATTCAGTTACATTGTCTAAAAGTGATGGTTTATATAATTAATTGTATTCTAGACATTAAGGGGAAGTTGATAAGGGGGGGAGAGTTTTTACATATTGCTGTTGTGGAGTGGAAAATGTGATGATTGCACTGTAGCGGTTCCCAACCTAGTGATCAGGACCCTCAAAGGTTCCTCAGAAAAATGTAAGTAACATGAAAGAGAAAAAAAACATCTGTTAAACAGACGTCTATTTTTAGCTTTTTCTTTTTCTTCCTTGAAATAATCTCCTTTCTTCTTCTTGAATGACTTTGAATTAAAAAAAAATCCAAAAAGGAAATTTCATCCTCAGTTTCAATAACTCTCAGCAGTGAGGTCATGACTGGTAATGAGAGGCCACATTTGTTTCACTGTCAGGGGTTCAAACGAAATGGTAGAGAAGTAACAGGACATGCAGTTTACAATTACTTAGGAGCAATCGCCGTTTTAAGGGTTTAGTATAAGTTTATAGTATTTTACTTATTAATTGGGGGAATATGAGTATGATTTAAATGATGAATATGATTTTAAATCTTGAAATTGTCATTGCTTGATACTGCTCTCTGCTCGATCATCTGTGATCTGTGCTTAATTTCTAGGGAAAATAAAATAAATTAAAATCAGGGAATGCAAAGAAAGACCCTGAGAAAAAACTATGACACAGGATTTTTAAATTGTCCTAAGTTTGTTTGAGGCAGCCCCCGTTTAGCTGACGATGGTTAAAATCCTGTAATGTGCATCCATCTTAATACTGACATCAATGTTTTATAGAAAGTTAGTGCTGTTAGAGGGAAAAATAGAACAACGTTAGTCTTTGTCTTTTAAACCCAGTGTCTTTCACCAAAGAAACCCTTATTATCTGTATTTCACAACAGCAGTTCACTCCTCTCCTAACCTGGTCTGGTCTTTGACTTTACCGAGGGAGGAGTCAATAGTGAATTTAGTCCCCTCTGTTATTGTCCTTCTTACAAAAACGTCACATCTTCTTGCGACTGTACCCACCGCCAGTGCGCGTCGTACTCCAGGTGCATTTTTCCGTTCATTTTGCAAGTATCCAACTCAATTTTTCCGTTTCTATAAGGCTTGAGTTTGGGGCTCTGGCTGGTTCCCTGTCTCTCGGTGAGGCTGGGGCGGGTCGGGCTTCCAGTTTGTGCGGATGGTTTCTCATGGACGCCGTTAACCTTGACGGATTGTGCCTTGACATTGTCCTTTGAAACAAGGCTTCCTTTGCCCGTCTCTGCAGCCTTGGTCCACACTGGAGGATCCTGCTTGGGGCCCTCAGACTTGGCTCGAGCAGAATTGAGGGGAACAGCTGGTTTTCCAGCTGCAGTCCCAGTGACAGCACTGGTAACCCCAGTCCCTAGTGCACCTTTCAGTTCTGTCCCATTTCCATTCCCAACTCCATTCTCATTTGTCCCAGCCCGAATCCCAATAACAGCCCCAGTGACGCACCTCGACCCTACCCCAGCTCCAGCAGCTGTGACCGGGGCCACGAGGCCTCCCCCTGTCCGCCCCCCAGGGGTAGCCTCTGAAACCAGTGGATTGGTGGAGCAGATGACCGACTCCGAACTGGATGGACAGTACTCATCCATGTCGTCCGCCAGGGTGTCCAGGTAGCTGCCGATGGAGATGTTGTCCAGCTTGTCATTGGGGTCCTGCAGGCTGCTCCAGGAGCCTCTCCAGGACGTGTCTGGGCCCTCGCCCAGGCTGTACTGGCTGCTGGTGAGGCTGCTGCACCGGCTGGTCAGCGTGCTGCGCTCCTCCAGCAGCCACTTCACTGCCTCGATACCTTCATGCACCGCCAGCAACTGCTGCAGGATCTTCACGTCCACTGAGCGCAAGTGAGCCTATGGAGAAATGACATGGAGACACAGAGTTTTCATTTATTTATTGTGCTTATTTTGCAGTTTGCAACAGGGAAAGAAAGTCACACAGTGAACCACCAGGACTCTGCAGGTATTTATTTCAAGCAGTAAGCTTTGGCTCCTGGGTTGAGTGCAAACACCATTAAAATGCTATTAAACCTTTGCAGATTACCATAATTGGAAGTAACATAGAAGCTGGCAGGCAGATTATACAGAGCGCTGCATCTAGTGTGGAAACAGAATAGGTAAAGGTCATGGAAACGGACAAAGACATGAAAGAAATGAGAAAGGAGAGAAAGGTAAAAGAGGAGAGAGAAGGTATAAGTAGCATGTATGTTGATGAAGATTAGATTTAGCTGTTTGACAGTTTTAACAAGAAAATATGATCATAAGAAATGTGATACAGTGGAAACTGTGACACATTTAAAAAGTAACACACCACAATTCTTAAACAAGGCTTTATAAAACATTGTCTTAATGTCATGTAAATTGCTAAAATATTTATTTATTCATCATGACGTCATCCAGTACAAATAAATGAAGCTGAAAATGATTAATGAGAAATGTGACATGTGTGAGGGGAGGCTGAAAAAGCTCGATGGTGAATAAGAAGAAAAAGATGGCTTCAGTCATGGAAAATTCCTCCACAGAACGCATTAGCAGAGGTCTGCGGTGAAGTGCAGGGCCAGGAGGTGATATATGGCACCGACACTCAGTCTCAACCTCTCTCTCTCTCTCTCTGCAGATCACCAGTCTCTCTGCAAATCACTGCAGCCTTAGACTCTCATTATTTCTCAGTTCATTCACACAATATCTTCTCTTCATTACTTTAAGTTTCCATCTCTCTCTGAGCCCTCGAGATCAGTTTTGCATTTTACCTCACACTGTAAAGGAGGAAACTTTCAGACAGATTTCATTGTATTTTAGTCCAGTTTGAATTAAAAGAAATACATTCAAAAGTTGAGGGTCTTTTAAAAGCAACAATAGTAGATGTTTAAAATACTGCATTACAAGTAAAATCCCCTGCATTCAACAAACAGTATTACATGATAAGTGACTAACCAGGAACACTAATATACTCTAAAGAGAGGGTATCAGACTAGTACATAGATTTGTTGCTTAATACTTGATGTTATGATGCCAATAAAAAAGACTAGACTAGACCCTAGACAGTTGTAAGAATCCCAGACATAAATGATGCATTTATATCTGCATATATTGTGCAATATTTAATTTTTCAACCAAACATATTAAAACATGCAGCAAGTGCCAGGACCATCAGCTACTATGACCTTTCTGACCCTTCAGTTTTAGTGTTGCTCTCTTATTTCTTACAAAGCGTCCTCGTGACCTTTCTGGTCATGTCAATAAAACAGCAAGCAGGAACATATTGATTGTTTAAACCTGCCAACCCACTATTCTCTTAGTAGAGATACTTCCAGTGGAGCTATGCATCATTTTAGATTTAGTGTGTATGATTTTTCTGTCATTTGAGGGTCGCTGGGGAGCTGGAACAAATCCCAACCAATTTAGAGTCTCAATCAACCTCACAATCTGCATGTCTTTTGGATGTAGAAGGAAAACCTGCACAAAGACAGGGGGGGGGGGGGTTGTAGACTATACATATAGACTCGTATGGAGCATCCATCTCCACAGTACATGAAACACGAAAAAGATGGAGAGCCTGATGAATAAGAGCAGGACACCAAAAACCACAGCTTTGTGTGTGTTTGTGTGTGTGTGTGTGTGTGTGTGTGTGTGTGTGTGTGTGTGTGTGTGTGTGTGTGAGAGACAGTAAACCAGCTGGCGTCTTGGCACACAGACATTCAGTGGGGCGGGGTTCAGGTTTGAGGTTTGAGGGTTTTAGGCACAGACTCTGCGTCTAATGAGGGTGGCAGTAAAAGTAGCTTGGTGCCCGTCAGCACTGAGGTGGCACAACGCTAATGAATCTGAACGCTCTGTGCTTTCCCAACTCCATGTTTTATTAATCTTATGTGGGAACGCTGTATTTAACAAACCTAAAGTACCCAAGATGGATTGTGATGGACTGTGATGCTGTCCGTCAAAAACCTGTGTAAAAAGGAATCGTAGGTAGGTAGAGTTGAAGAGGTTTGTTTATTACATTAGACATTAACTGAAAAGCTTTCTGCTTCAGAGCGTTAAACAAAATAAGCAACAAGAAAAGCACATCAATCTTGGACCTAGATAGACTGAGAAGAGCATTTATCACAATTGTTTTTAAATATTACAGACCACTAACTAACTCATCGCAACTGGCAGAGTAATCGTTCAACTCACAGTCTTAATTTTGTGTGTTATCATAAAAACTATATTCTGACTTAAGCAGATGCCTTAAATTTACTCTAAGAACAGTTTTTAAAAGTTTAATTGAAAAATGTGAAATAAAAATACAGGAAAATAATATAAAAAAATATTGTTACTGTTGATGAAATTGTAAAAATTGCTTTTCCTACAGTTACTTTTTAAAACATGTTACACTGTGAGAGTCTTGTGTTACTCAATAAGAATATGTAAATATGTCCTTTATGCAAATTAAATTTCACATTTTTCTATACCATGAATTAAAAACGCCTCCATGCATCTACATTCATGCAGCAGTCTCTTGTATTGAGTCACGTTGCTGTTCCAGGAGCTTCTCGTTTTCATGATGCAGTGGAGTCAAATAAACTCGTTAAAGACACGACCCTGTCAAATGAAAAAGGTCAAATTGGGGCCAAAAGGTTTTAATGTGACAGCAGTGAGGATGAGAGTGGGGATGAAGGCCTGTGCAGCCTCGGGGACTGAAGCACCATTAATCATCTTTTCTCATTTCTCGGACATCGAACACACAGCCAAGCAGATTTCAGTTTTTCTCCTCGGGCATGAGGCCACATCCTGACCGAGCCGCAGGATTCTGGAAAGCTTATTTTCCTGCCTCTTACATCTGATGCATGATAGTGTGTGTCTCTGTGTGTATATTACAAACAATATTATAGAAAGCAATCCATAAAATAATTGATTTAATTGATTTTTAATAAATCCACAGGCCGAGTTTCATTTGGTTGAAAATCCTTCATTCCTTAAAACAAACTGGAAACGTCTCTGATAACAATTTGTCTCCACATATTGTCCTGATAAGCTGATAATTTGTCTCTGTATTGGCGAAATAGAAAAACAGTTGGTACACGACAGTTATTTCTAAACGCTAAGCTAGCACAACCTTGCACTCAGAGGGTTTGGTGAGCTACAGATGAAAAATATGACTGTCTCCGGCATGGATGTACAGTATTATACATTTATTCTAGAGGGAATCATGTCAGTGGATAAGTCATGAAGCATTTAATTAAACAAAATATGCATTTGTTGATGGGTATTCTCCATTTTAAACATAACATAACAATCAGTTAACTAAACTATATACACATATATAAAATAAAATAATAGAAAAAACAATGCTGCTGTGAGACGATGAGTGATGGGAACACTGAAGGTGTGTTCAAAGCCTCGACTCTGACAGCTACTGTACTTCTATGTATTTTAAAGCAGAAGGAATGTGATAAGACCAAGACGATACCAGGACGCCCCGACTGCCCAGAAGTACCCTTCAGCTTAAAGCTTATTCTGATTGTTGGTTTAAGTTATGGATATTTTGTTGAATATCATTTGTGGGTCAGTGTTTGGAATCGCATGTTTGGACAATGAACCTTGGTTTCGCTCCAGGCTGACATAGTGCTCATACATGATTACACCAGACGCACAAATTGGGGCAACAGCTGCTGCAAAGTCGACACATTTTTGATTTTGAAAAAAACAAATCTTTGGTGATTTTTATTTTCCAACAAAACATAATTCCTCTGCCCACCAAAGACAGCAAGGAGAAACAAAACCACAAGCAGGACTGCAGATGCTCTGTCCTCTCTGCTTTTCAAACAGGATATTATGAAATGGGATACGTTTAATATTAACGCAGTTTGAACAGACAGGCAACCAGAGCATAAGAGTGGGGGGCGGGGCTCATCAAAGCAAATGGCATTGTCGTTTACAACAACAGCGCGTTTACAACAACGGCCACGACAACTGATTCCCCACTTCAGGTTCTGTGTACTGAGTCGAGCTTCACTGAACTTTGAATAAACAGGTGAACAGCTCTTTGTGCAGCAGAGGGGATGCAGCTTCTGGGTTCTGTGGACTGAGTCCAGCAGGTCTTTACTTTACTACTGCAGCTCAATTACCGCAGCTCACTTTTACAGTTTCAGAAAGCTCAGATGAGCTCAAATCAAGGGGCTCTATTTCAATCACGCTCTGACAAACTAAAGTGTCTCCACACAGACAGTCCAGTCCTTCACGAGGCAGCACATCTTGATGATGTGTGCACAACTGCTGCCTGATCTGTGACGCAGACTCTCCCATAAGGCAAACACAGCTTCTCAATGTCACACAGCCACCTGACAGACTGCTGAATCACTGCCAGCACTAACACACACACACACACTCACACACACACACACACACACACACACACACACATGCTTGTGTGTCACACAAAAAATAAACATCTTGCTCTCTCTCTCCTTGTCGTATCCTCTGGTGTCGCTGTCTGTCGTTTCACCTTCCCAACCGAACCCGGGCGCTCTGCAGACATACGGCGTCCTTGCAGAGTCCCTCCAGTCTCCTGTTCGACAACAGCAGGTCGCCCCTGCAGCTCCATCTGTCTGTTTTCATCTCTGAATGCTGTGGAAGTATCTACTGATCCTTGTTCTGTCACATTTAGTGTTTTCTGTCTCTGTGTCCTGTGTACTACCAGTATGTTCCTTCCTATGCATCATCTTGTTCCCTGTTTTATATTTTGCTTCTTCTATTCAGACATATATTGGATGGAAACATGCAGGGTTTCATCACACAGTCCAAACTAGACTAAAAGGAGATTACATGTTTCATGAGATTGAAGCACAAACTAGAAAAGTGGATTATTTAAATTTGGCACAGGCAACTACTGGATGGATGACGTAGAAACTTATTGGAAGGATGCTGCATGTGTCAGGAAATTACCCAGTCAATTTTGGTGTGGATCCGAATAAATCAATGCAGGTGGACTAATGAGTAAACGGCAAGTTCTCTGCTCTTATGTCATCATGAGAAAAAAATATAAACTTCATTGTGAAAACAGTTTTGAGCACATAGGGCATTAGCCCTGGTGGAGATGTGCACATCTATACACATACATCTATCTTTATAAAAAACAGTGATGACACAACATCATGGAAGTTTCTGTTGCTGTAAAACACCCAATTGATAATTTCCTCAATAAATAAATAAACGCTCCAGCTGCTGTAAAACCAGAGAAGATCGTTCAGGTTTCCTGGTCAAACACAGACAGAGGAGATGAAACACAGAAAACAAAATGTGATGGAAGAATAAAGGAGCTCTGCTTGTTTAACAGTAACTTAATTAGATAATCTTGCCCTGACATCATCTGAGATGAAGCCAGAAGAGCCAGACAGAGAGAGAAGATTTAATCGGTTCAGCTTCAGTTCAGCTCTGCACCCAAAGCTGACATTGCACTGACATTCATCTGCCCAGAGGTGGAAGCCAGAGATAGAGAGTGACAGGGAAAAGCAACAGGGGCAGGAAAAAAAAGGGCGAGTGATGTATCCAGGGCAATGACACAACGTTTGCCCTTCCATTGATTAAAATGCAGGTGCTGCTGCATGAATAACATGTACAAAGCAGCTGGTAGCGTGTGTGTGTGGCAGACTACCAGTCATCTGTGGTTTAAATGCGGAGTCTGATTCCAGTAAATCTGTTTAGATGACTGGGGAGTGTGTCTTCCATCAAACAGCTGGAGACAAACGTACAAGGCAGAAGCTTTGGAACCGTTGCCACAGCACTGGAACAAGCATAATTAAAATAATCAAAAACAATGTCGGCTGTAAGATCTGCTCTACTGTTCTGAGACATAAACTCAGCGAGTCACACAGTGAACGAGAGGCAGATCTTCATGAAGAACACTTTTTATCCATGTTTTATTTTATGTCTTTTATTACTTCTATACATTATTGCTAGAACTATCATGACATTGTGTTTGTTCAGAATAAGTACAATGAAACAATGCATTAATTAGTGAAATAATTAAGGACCTTTCTCTGTCCCCTTCACTGAAGAGGTTATGTTTTCATCTGCATTCCTTTGTTTGTTTGTTTGTAAACAGGATTACGCAAAAGCTACTGGACAGATAACCATGGGAAATGGCGGAAAGGTGTGGTATGAGTCAGGGAAGAACTCATTACATTTTGGTGGGGATCCAGAACAGGGGTTGAAAAGAATCTATTTAGGGGACTAACAACTATGAGTGTGTGAAATTCAGTGCTGAGTTTGGGGGGGGGGGCTTTGTAGTGGTTTCTCCTGCAATCATGGATTCTCATCATTATCATTAAATAATGAACGATTTCAATAAGCAGGTTTGACTACTGAGTCACTACGACTGTTTGAAACTAAAAGATTTGGGTATTTTCTAAAATACAGTAAATTACTGAGAAGGCCAATTTCCCCCAGTTCAAGGAGATGAAAAACTTTATGCTGAGGCATTATGTTACACCGAAATGTTTCCTTTATTAGTCACAGTTTCCTTTAGAAACTTCAAAAGAGTCTTTATATTTTAAAGATGGCAGGGAAGAGTTTTGTCTGATTTTGAAATTCAATCTTACATCAATGTGTTTTTCATCAAATGTTGTCGAATGAAGCTAAAAGTAAAAGGTAAAAGCTTTTGTTAAAAGTTTGTTCCTGTCTAACGTTCAACGTGAGGAGGGAGCGGTGGAAACGCAGCGTAACGTCTTGTTTTGTCCTGACAGTTAACAAGAAGCAGAGCAACGTTTCATTTCTGGTGACAGAGGACAATTTGACACACACACACACATCCTTGATCTCAACAGTAGAGGCTGCAGCCATGCATCACCATGCTATGTGCTTACAGACACACTATTAAATGAATGAGGAACACAAGGGCAAATGAAACTCACAGACACATTCACACAAACTTAAACGTGCAAGCAAAGTGAGAAAAAGAAGCGGATATTGGCTCACTCCTCTGTGTGTGTGTGTGTGTGTGTGTGTGTGTGTGTGTGTGTGTGTGTGTGTGTGTGTGTGTGTGTGTGTGTGTGTGTGTGTGTGTGTCAGTTAGCATTACTCTGCAGACACTGTACACGTGTTACTGCACATCTTACTAAGCAGATTTCTGATTAAAGTGCAACACTCAGACTCTTCTTGTGCACTTTCATTACACTACCCCACTCTCACAGATGAATGAAACACACACACACACACACACACACACACACACACATACAAAGCCCGGCTCTATGCTGGAAGCTCCAATCCCCCACGGTCAGGAAGTAGCCCCTTATCACTATCTCTCTTCTCTCTCAATCGTCCTCCCTCCTTTGCAGCAGGACTGATTCATGTCTGACTCTGTTAAATCAGTCTGCTCCTCGACAGATTCATAGATTCTCTCTGGGTGCTTTGTGAATAATCCAAACTGTGCTCATTGATCAGATATGCACTTTGAAAAGTGGCTGGAGGTCACATCAGTTAATTTCCCTCTAAGTCCCATTTGACAGCCTAATGATTTTATCTTTCACAGTGAAATTAAGTGTTTTGGTTCAGTATCACTTTAAGTCCCCGTGTTTAACGTGTTTAAAAATGCATGCCACATGACCGTTCACGTACACTGGACATGTGTGTGTCTATGTGAGAGGAAGTCATGCGCATCCCCCTTATTGCAGATTAGCCAAATAATAGCTTGTCTCCTATGCATGTTGTTAGTTGTATCGTTGTAAAATGCAGAATTTAACACGCACAACAGCTGTTAGCAAAACCATGCTGAGTTCTACGCTAGTAGATGAGGCTAATGCTGTTCTGTTCAAGAAGGGGGTCATGTGATATGAGCCTGAAGAATCAGCGAAGGCTACGCCGTGACCGAAAGGATCCAGTCAGCAAGCTGGTTGTGAGTTTATACGTCACTGTTTCTGAACATCTCTGTTTCTGCCTGTCCAGACTCACACACAGCCAAGGAGTTCTCAAACTAAAACTGGGGCCGGCAGCGTCTCCACACTTCTCAGTTTTAGCGGCTCTAAAACCTCGGGGTAGAGTGAACGTCAGGAGGGTCTGTAGCAGAGTTGATACGTTTTCATATAAAAAATACAGTGTGGATGTAGACTGTGTCTGGTCTGATATCAGTGAAAGGTTGTTTGGCTCAAGTACAAATCAAATCAAAGTAAATTACACATAATTACATAATCTAGATGGAAGATGCAGAAAAAACCTTTGAGAGTTGCTAAACAAACAGTGTTGATGGCTGCACATTCCTTCAACTACTGCAGGTCATCTTATTACATTAGTGCTCAGTTACAGAGGGGAGTGCCGTTTCCTCTTTAAGTTTTCCTCCTGCTTGCAAAGCGTATTTCAATTACCAGCAACCTGGAGTGATGTAAGAATATCATCATGTGTTTTGGTCGTTTGGAAGAAAACGGCAGATGTTAACTCCCAGAAGGATGCTTGCTTTGTTTTTTTTGGGGCGTGGGGGGGGGGGTCATTCACAGTGCTCTATGTCACAACCACAGACGGAGCGCACGCCTGCATCTGCCACAGGAATGTACGATGGTCATGATCATACATTTCTGGAGGAGTTGGGGTCCAGGTAAACAAGACGACAGAGAGATATAAGAATAATATAAAATCAGTCACCGATCAAACGGAATAACCTCGACTGAACAAACCTCCGGTCACAGTTGATAAGATTTTACAACTGTCGAATACTTAATATGAAAAACTACAGCTTTCTTTAAATACATCTCAGAGGCATGATGCCCACTTACACTGTATCACACCAAAATCAAGCCCCAGTATAAACAGAAAGAAGTGACGCTGTAGATGATTAAAACAGATCTATATATAAGTTGTGATGAGGGTGACAACCACCTGACAATATCACGAGAGGAGGATAAAGGCCTGTGATCGTCTACTCCATTACCTAGCAACCACAGCTGTCTGCAGCGGTTGGCATGGTGAGGAGCAGCTTGAATGAGTCTGTGAGAGAGAATATGGAGTCGTCAGGTTTTATCACTGCGGACACGATTAAAGTTATAAATATCACGGATGTATTTTGGACAGTAAAATCATTATCTTTAAAGTTGTCTGTGATGGATATATCTTTATCAATACCTTTAACTCTTTAAATCCAGAGCTTCTTTTAAAACTAAATATACCAATACTGACATATATTGTAGATATGTGACCAGAGATTTTAAACAAATGCCAGAGATATGTCATTACATCATTTGTCCAAAAGAGAGAGATCATGGACACAATTAGTTTTCAACCACGCAAATTTTAGCGTAACCAACTTTTGCTAATATTGAACATAGCCCTTGTCCGCACTTTCTCGGGCAGTTAATGATACGAAGTGTAAAGCCAATAAGACGAACAGTTCTCCAGACACGGGTTCCACATAATGACAGATAGATGTTAGTTGAAGTACAAATACTTCTGAACAAAAGGTAAGCGCAAATTCGACCAGCTGTGTGTAGAAGAAGAAAATATTTTTTGTGGTGTCAGCAAACCAAAACGCAGATATGGATATGTGAGAGGATCATATCGACCGACCGATGTTATCCACCAACCAATATATCGGTCTTGCTCTGGTTAGATACATGTATATACAGGACATGTTCATAACCAAATGAAAAGAAGTCTTGACAGAGAGATGCTGTTTGTGCCTGAGTCATGATAAAGTGATCTGCTGCAGAGATGTTAACAACAGTGGAGCAGAGCTGGCTCATATTCACAACCTCAGTTACGCATCAATGTTACGTGGACTGAAGTGAACACACACACACACACACACACACACACACACACACACACACACACACACACACACACAACACTTACCATCTCCATCTTCAGTTTCCTGATCTTCTCATCCAAACTCTTCCTCCCCGTCTCCTTGGCACCGGAGTCGTGCGCGGCTGCCAGCTTGGCGTCTCCCCGGAGAGAGGACGCCTCTTCCCGCAGACACCTGAGCAAACCCTCGGGGGTCTTCCTGCCGATTTTCACCTCTATGTCTCTCAGGTCTGGGACGGCCTCGCAGGCGGCTCCTTCGTCCATCGCGTCCAAAGTGTGTGATGTGAAGAAAGCGAAGAAAAAGATCCGCAGGGCGCAGAGAGGATTACGTCCTCTTCGCTTGTTGGAAGCCGCTGCTGGAGTCACTGCCTCCGGGACTGATCGGCATCACATGCGGCTCCAGATGAACCAGTCTGGCAGCACCATTGTTGTTGTTATCCCAGCCGATGGAAGTCTGCTTTCATTTCACCTTCATCATCATCGTCATCATCATCATCATCTCACATCAAGTCGCTTCATCCCAACAAAGTGATGATCATCAAGTGAAAGCAGAGAGATGCTGGTTGTCCTCTGTGGTTGTGGACCTGTGTTGCACAGATGTGGTGCAGATGTGTCTCCACACTGACTCTGAGCTGCGCTGCGCAGATTCCACCTGAATGATGACAGCGACCAGCAGCCGCAGCAGAGTGGGAGTGAGGAGGAGACCCCACAGTGTGAAGAGAGCAGGACGACACCCAGCACAATCCGGTCAGCACTTCCACAATAAAACACAGAAACACGCTGGTTGTGGGTGTTAAAGTGACTCTGCACACTTCGATGTGCTGTAAACGAAATGATATTGTTAGTCTTTGATTAAATATAGCAAAATCACATTTATTAACACATTTCTGAAAGAATGTACTGAGCCCATTAAGTTAAATAAGTTGTGCACTTAGAGTTAATTAACTCAAAGATTATGCAAAGATGGATGACATTTCCAAAAAGTGAAGCCAAAGCATCTTGATCCCCCACTTGGTAGTTGACTGCAGTATTAATCATAAACCCTGTCTCCTCTATGTTAATGGGTGGGACATTGACCAAACTAAAACGTCAAAGTATATGTCAAATAAAACAGCTAAGACTCGATCCGCTGTGGATCAAAAAACCCACCCTGTTTGTTATGTTAATCAAATACAGCTCGTCATCTAATGCATGACATGCACATTTCCATCCAACATTAACCAGCAATGCAAACAAATCCAGGCAACAATAAATCTTTTACTCAGTTTCATCTGTTGCAGCCAAATGTGAAGTTAAACTTTTCCAAAACGTAGTTACTGCATAAGGCATTACTTTCAATACACGCACATGCTATTGTGCTTTATGACAAACTTCTCCCAATAGTTTAAACCTCCTCCTGCAGAGCCACAGGCACCACGGCTGCCACAACACATCAGGTCAGAGCTTGTGGTTTTCAGACTGCTGGGCTGACGTATCATACTGGCAACATCTCGGAGTAATGGAGATCAAATTCAATAAGGTGTCTGGTGAGCATAGTTTTTTCCCTGTGTCTAAGGGAGGAAAGCATTTTTTAATGTTTGCTTTCAAATCGACTGCATCTGGAGATTGTTTTATCCACATGCTAACAGAGATAAATGCTTATAACAGGGTTTGGTCACACTTTATTTTACAGTGCACTGATTAGCCAAATAACACAAACCTAGAATATGTCATTAATTACACTCACTTTTTTACTTAAATTCACTTTTTATTATTTGTGTGCAGAGCTTTTAATAAACAGACTATGGTGCAGAGTAAGAAAACTGTGTGTTCATCCTGCCTGGTTTATTTGCAATGGAGATTTTATCGTCAATGTTTTTAATAAAATAAAACTGCATTTGTTTCATCACTGTTTTTGTGACTTGCACATAAGTTTGAATGATTTACTGAACTGCTGTAATTGTTGATGCATGAACAATGTCTGATGTCTGTTAAGCAAGCGACACAATCTTTAAACCCAAGTTCACAACTTTTCAAAATAAAAGCTCTGTTCTTCAGCTCGATATAAAGCGTTGCAGCAACAAAACAAGAAATTCTGCTTTTGCTGCAAAGACAAATTGACAAACAACAGATCAACACTCACAGCCCCGCGAATGTCTGTGTCAGTTCAATACGGTGAAATAAAAATAGTGAAATTATCAAAATGATCTGATGGTTATTGAACATGATGCTCTTCCAAACTGCATCAAATTCGACACTGCACTTTTCAAGATGACTAAGAATACACATGCCAAGTGTGAAGTTGGGAAGATGTGCAGACAGACAGAAAAACAGACACGTTTATGGAATAAGTATCAAACATGGTAGTTTTCGACCTGAAAAAGACATCCTGCATTTTTATGATGGCAGACTACCATCAGTCATAACTCATGGTTACATTTGCTCTGCTCCAATTACCTGAAAATGATGCCTCCTCGTTACACACAGAGACACAACAAAGAGACATTCAGTGGTGTGATTTGCAGTCAGTGGATGTTTCCAGAGAGCCAAAGAGATGCTTGTCACTGTGAATACTGAGGACGCCAGAGAGAAGCTGACTAAAAACAGTGGTAGGCAACTGTGAGGCAGTGGCTCAAGAGTTTTCAGCTACGAGCTCTAACCGAATGTACAAGTGCGTCTCAGAGGTAAAGGAGAGATAAGGAGGGAATCTGCATCAAAGTCTGGATGAACATCTGTGTTAAATAACAATGGCTCAAAAACAGAGTCAGGATCTGAAGTGGATTAAGGCCGACTTGGTCTGTCTGATATGGCGTAAAGCCTGGATACCAGAGTGAGGCTACTTTTCTTTTGTTCGTTGTGGAAAACAAAATACATTGAATCATCAAACCCCTCCCTCCTCATCACTGCTGTGTCGCAGTATTACACAGATTGTAAAAGTGTAACAAAACTGTAGACCTGAGCTCAGAGGGAGGGGAGGTTGTACAAATATAGAGACTGGTATTAATGAGGCTTTCCTGTGATCCTATGATCCCCTTTGTGTTCTGTGTCACATCTTGTGAGGGGCCCCCAAATTCACAGCTATGTTCCTGTCAATGTCAATGTCATGTCTCTGCAGGGATGGAATTAAGGGAACTTTGATGCGGGATCTTCGCTCTCTCCATTAACATGCATTCAAGTTACAGCAAGAAAATGCTCACACACAAACACATTGTGTCCAAATTAGCAAGTTAACTTCAAATCATTGCCTGTATTTAATACTTTCTGAGTTGTGGCTGATCGGTGTATATTTCATGTCTAGCTACTTCCATAATATATCAAATTACATTATTCATATTAGCAAAAAATAATACAATTATTTTAAATAAGGTAACTCTACGATAAACTGTGTCTAAATAAAAACACTGTAACTGTATTTCTCTTCAGGTGGAAATTAATGTTAGAAATATAACAGTGGGTATAAATGTGGGACAGTCAGTGAGTAAAAAATCAAGTTGGCTTGAAGGGCCAAGAATAAAAAAAAATGAATGTTATGACAAACCTCCTCCTTTTTAATTTTGCAGGCAGGTCTGAGACATTTACTGTTAACCTGTGGTCGGTGCAGATTTTAAATAATGCTAGAAAATGTGGATCCTCTTTATTTCTGTTGAAAGAGTATTTTCTGATCATGTGTCAAACATGTGTTCACATCCCTGCAGTAAATTGTTTGTGCCAGGAGTTAAGACAGTCACCAAAACAATTAAGTAGGTTAACGAGGGGTTAGGTAGAAAGCTAAAGGACCTTTACTAGAATGTGGGACATATACACTAATCCCACTTTACAGGGGAGAACTGTGAAGGCTTGAGGGATTATTAGGGTCAACATCTCCCCCATAATACCTTTGTTTTGTCTCTTAGCTCATGGAATGCAAAGTCCATCATCTGAATTGGAGATTTTTTTCTTGTTGAAATTCTGTCTTCAGCTCAGAGGGTGCACAGCCACACAGACAAGCATCTGTAATCATTATGTTGCCATGCAATCAGCCCGGTATCCATGATGACCACCATGGTAACGGTTGTATAGAGAGAACATTTTCAGATTGCTGTACACCCCCACATGGTGCAAGTGGAGAGAGGCTCCCGGCTCGGAGGCAGAACCACAATAAATACACATTATGCAACACACTCTGATGGAAACTGTGGGCTTCAGGGGCAGCAGAGGTGCTTCAGCACTGCTTCAAACACGACTGAGGCATTTGTGTGTTTACTGAGAGTATACAGAAGTATTTAGTCACTTTTCAAATACGAACACATCACTTATCCTCCTACCAGGATTTGGAGATATTTTCTATTGGACGCTACATTTCCTCCCTGGCAAAGGAGTCTTTCTCGGTTTTTCACTCTGACCCTCACAAATATAAAGATGAGGTGACTGCCCCACAAAGTAAAGCCAAAGCATCTCAATCGCCCCCTGGTGGCTGGCTGCAGTATAGATAATGAATCCCTCCTCCTCCATGTTAATTTCACTTAAGGATGGTTTCTGATAGTTTAGGCAGTTCTGATCACACTCATGTATGTTAAAGTGTTCATTCTTAAGTTTGCTTTTAATTAGACATTTGCTACTATGTAAATTTTAGCTTAATTTCTAAATAGTGAGAGGAATTGGAAACAAGTCATCCATCTTTAATTACAGTCTATCATTGCAATGACCTATGAAATGTATCCATCCTTACGTCCTCTTGATTAATTCACCTGACTTCCTCTTTTGTCCTTTCATACTTGATAAAGCCGCTGGATTAATTAAAATCAATTATAAGTTGTCTATGTTTATATTAAGATCTTTTCAGCTTATTTCATTGTATTTGAAAGCAGCTACAATATATTTCTACAGTTTCCTTTTGATTTTCTCTCGGAGGAGAGTTGGTCTTTCTTTGAATTGCTTCACTCCAGGTCCTTCACGTGCTGAGGCTGTGACTTATTGGGCTTGCAACACTCAACACCTTCTTCCCTTTGTTCCACTGTGAGATTGTATGTATAAGAGCATTTAGAAACAAAAGTGTTCTTATCCTGTGTGTATCAGATGTTCTCAGATAGTACTGTGACTTGCAGGATAATGTCTTTATTATTATTATAATTTTTTTTTTTAATGAAAAACAGTTTAAAGTGGTGACATTAAGCAAAACTGATTCAGTTTCCCTCAGTGTCCCCGTATCACTCTGAGCCTGACGGTTCACATTCTTGGGTTGGATACGACTGACACAGGCGGGGGAAGAAAACTGCTGAAACATTCACCAAAACATGTCTTTTTACAAAAGTCAAGACATAAATAAAGAAGTAATATCATCCTGTCAGGATGGACTTGAAGGAATGTTAGCTGGTATTTTTCTTACTGAGAAAAAAAAGTCACAAAGTGAGACAGAGACATTTTTAAAGAAGAAAATTAAAGAGAGGTGACTAGATGTTATGTATGTGTGTATCCCAAGAATGGTATAAATGGGAGTCAGAAGAGGGACATGATAATGTGTAACTAAGTTAAACACTGTGAACACTCCGTAGTCACTCCCAACCCTAACCTGTTCTACCTGTCCGCAGCAGGATGACAGGAGTGGGTGGGTAAATGAAGCTGCAGTAGACGGATCGGTAGGTTGAGAAGTAAAACAGTATCAGGATCCATACTCTTTTTTAAATAACAGGTGGTGGAGGAGGTGGAG